TGAAAAATGTAATGTCTTATTTCTAGCTGACTCTGTGTACTACCAAAAAAAAAAAAAAAAAAAAAAAAAAATGGCCTTCCTCAGTTTCAGTGAAACTCCACTTCCTGTTATAAAGGCCTCACCTGATTTCCGTATCAAAAGGGCACTCATGTTCCTGACAAGGTTTACTTCAGCTACATTGGAGGCCACTGGGTCAAATTTAAACCAACATAAGCAGAAACTTCGATGGATCTTGAGTAGACAAGTTGGAGTTTATAGCGTCATCACAGAGTCCCCTAGACACGGACACTACAAAGCATCTGCAGACGCCGGGTGTTGCTATCAGCCCAGAGCAAACTGCCCCAACTCCTAAGGAAAGACTCTAGATGGAAATATTTTAATCTGCTTGAGGTCTTTAGCATGCACACCTCTTTGTTCATGGGAGCAGGTCTCTCAGATGTGCTGAAAACATCTAGTTGCTTAGCTAATAAATCCCTCCCAGAGTAGTCCTACAACACAGTTTAGGTTATTCTTACTTTGGATTTAAGCAATTTAAGTTTAACAACCAAATCATCTTGGTTTTGAAGACAATAACATTACAGGAGTATAACTGTTATACAAACAACATTATTATGGAGAATAATGAGATAGTGTCCAGAGTGCTTTCTGGGCTCTGCTCCTATTTGGCAAATACACACGAATGCCATCCTAGAACAAATAAAACAGAAAATGAGTAGTTGTGAGAGCGTTTTGAAAGCTGAACCCAAAACATGCAAGGCCAACTTAAACCTATTTCATATGACTAAAGAACAAATGTATAAATAGGATCATGGGTTCAAGTGAAATACTTTAAAATAAACTATATAGGGCTGGCAAGATATCTCAGCAGACTAAGTGCCCTGCTTAGGCAAGTGCATGGACCAGAGTTCCATCCCTGGCACCACATGCTGCACTAGCCCCACCCCCAGGTGCTCTGAGGTGGCACTGATTCCGGGCGTTGTGGTGCATGCCTGTAATCCCAGTGCTGGGGAGGCTGAGACAAGAGGATCACTACGAGTCCGAGCTGTGTAGTGAGACCCTGTACCAAAAGCATAAATAAAATAAAACTATAAATTCTGCCATGCTGGCCCCATCTCCGGGGCATGCTGAGAGGGCATTTGAGACTGGGCGTGGTGGTACACACCTGTAATCCCAGCTCTTGGGAGGCTGTAAACAGGCAGATCACTAGGAGTCCACCCTGTAAACCCTTCCCTAAAATAAAATAAACTTTGTGAAATGTCTCATTTTAATTATTTTAGAGGTAAGATATGTTTACCTTTAAATGAAAAACTATATTTGAGTACTGCAATGACAATTAGAGATTCGCATCCCAGCTTTGTGGTACTGGTTCTAGTAGGATGGCTTTGCTTTCTGAGGGAATTGGCTCAAACAGCTCACACCCCATTTTTTTCCTACCTCTCACTGTGGTAGATTTCCAAGAAAAACTGGGCCACCTTTGCAAACAATGGACTAATTGCATGGCTCCTAACACGTGGGCTAACTGCATTCGGCGCAGTAGCAGGAGGCAACTCTCGATGCTTCTCTAATTACCACAGAGAAGAATGTCACTTTAATCCTATCACTGCCCAACGAAGAAGAAAGTGGAGGTTGATCCCACCTTACTAATTTTTTATTAATTTTA